TCTCTCATTTATTCCTCACAGTGCCTGTCTGATGTCGCTGCTATTATTATCCGACTTTAAAGAGAGGACGCTGAGGTTACATAAACGAGCCCAAGGTCACCGGGCTACTAAATGCCAGAGCCGGAACCCATGTTCTCAATCACTGCACTCCGCTGCCTGCTGCTACCCCGGGCTTTCCTGCAGTGATTCTCCAGATCTCCGGGGTTGGGAAGGGCCCGTAGTTGACAATGGTGACTCAGTATCAGCTCTGTTCCGTCCAGCTGCTTTAGGAGTATTATCTCATTTTTGTCCCCATTGCCCGGGTAAGGAAACCGAGGCTCAGAGAGGTTACTTCATTTTCCCATGCTTGCACAGAGAGAAAGTAAGAGAATTCAACATCGGAAACCAAACGTGCTGGATTGTAAAGTCCCTCCCTTAAGGGCCTTGGCACTTGGTGGTCCCTCTGCCTGGAACACCCTTCCCCTAGGGGCCTATGTGACTCAGCCGGCTCTTTCCTCCAACCTGTTCTCACGAGGCCATTCCTGAATAATCTGTTTAAAACTGCAACTTGCCTCCTCTATGTCTCCCTAAGCCCCTTTACCTGGCTCTGCTTTTTGTTCCAGAGCATTTAGAACCTTTTAACACACTAGGTAATTTTCTTATTATGACTTATTACTTCTTGCTTATCTCCCCCTGCTAGACAGTAACTGATGAAGGTGAGGGTCTGATACATCCCAATTTTCTAGAATAGGGCCACACATAGTAGGTGTTCAATAAACATTTGGTAAGTGAATGAATGATAGGAATATAGATGGCAGGTCAAGAAATCATCCCAAGGCCATGTCTTAAATTCCATATTGAGTCCACTCAGAGTAGACAGGAGCTTAGAGAGGGGCTAAGGGCATGTGAACCCAGAACATCAGATGGTCTGTGATAGGTGTAGAAGCCAGGAGGGGCTTGGTTTTGTGCCTCCTGCAGTGCTACAGAAGTCACCCAGGAACAGATCCAGCCCTCAGCTTTCCAGATGGAACTCGACACCTCCCACCTGGCCCTTTGCTTCTGGAAGATCATACTCCCGTCCTCATTACCAAGTGGAGGTCAGGCTGCCAAGAATGGGTTGGGAAGTTAGAAAACAGTGTGGAGGGACTGTGTCTTGTTCTGAGTTGGCTGTTGATTCTCCAAGCTTAACAGGAAATGAGGAAAAGCTTCCCAAAGCCCACGAGTGATGCCGGCCCTGGGACATGGGGCAAGTCCCCGCCTCAGTTTCCCCCTGTGCAAATGAGCAAATGAATGTTAGTTATGAAGCTCAGAATTTGGTTAGGGTTCTATGAGGACCAGAAATAGAAAGAGAGTCACCTGGATAGAGAAATAAGTTTTTGGAAGGTTGTGGCATGGCTCTGGAATTAAAGGAGAGATGAGCCCCCAGGTCTTGGGAACAGGGTAGGCCAGAACAGACCTGCAGCTCTTGGCTACAGGGACTCATGACAGACGACTACCAGATGACTCGGCAGGCGTCCACCCTCTACCCTGACGAGTCCAGCTTCTAGACAAAATCTTTCTCTGGTCTTGCTTGGGTGACACCCAAAGGCTGGGTCGGTGAAGATAGGTTCTTTGAGTTCCTATCATGTCCCAGGCTCTGTTTTAAGGCCCAAGGATGCAGCTGTAAACAAGACAGACAAGATCTCTCCTGAGTGACCCGGTGGCGGGGAACACAGACCAAAAGCACACAAACAGGTAAGGGAATCTTAGGTCCTGACCAGTACTTTGAAGAAAATAAACTAGGGCAGATCAGGATCTTGGAAGGGGCAGCATTCGTGACGGCCTTGTAGGATTTCCCTGGCAGCGAGGGGAGGAGGAATACTCCAGGCATGAGGGGCAGTAGTGTGAACGCACACAGGCCTAAGTGCAGGGCAAGTCCTGGGTGTGGAAATAAACCAAGGAGGAGTGTGGGTGTGGAAGCAGGGCAAGGATGTTGGGGTCACACCAGGTAGAGGCCCCAAGAATCGAGGAGTCTACACTTCACCTCTCAGTTCCGGTGGATCAAGCGGACGGTGTCAGTTCCCGTGCAGTAGACCTCTCTTTCCCGTTCCTTTGGGAACCTGCCTTTCTCCCGCTAGAGTAACATTTTAGAATTACAGTTCCCGTAGGAATTCCCGAAGGCATAGGGGTGACGCTACCAGGGGAAGGAAGAGGGGTGCCGAACAGAGTAGAAAAAGGTACATCTCCTGTAATCAGAGTCCTTCTTCAGTCAACAGTGAATATGTATTGAGGACCTACTTACCAGGTGCCACACCTGTCCCTGACACGGAGCCATGGGGTCTTGGCTAGAATCTTCCCTCCGATGCTCCACTTCTCACTAGTGGACTCAGCTACTCTCTGCTTGGCTTCAATTGTGGCATTTTTTCAACTCCAGATTCCCAAAAGAAGTCTGGTTCTCTTGTGTTTCGAGTCCAACTATATCAGAGGCCACGGCCTGGGTCCAATCAGGACCCATCCTGGGACACAAAACAGCTCCCTGAATGGCCCGGGACACAATGGCTCCCTGAATCAGGGTGGTTTCCATACAGAGGGAGATTCGGTGGGAAGGGCTCCATGTTAACATAGCCACTTAAAGTCATAAGCAAGGATTATTACAGCAGGTCAGCCTTATAATGTCCTTCACTGAAGCCAAAACATCACTCCTGACGTGCACCCAGTTATCTTAATGGTACTGGCTAGAGTCCTGTGCCAAGCTTGCAGATTCGGTCCCATGCGCTAGGGAAAAAAGGTTATGAAGTCTCCTAATGCAGACAGTAACAATGATAGGGATGCAAATTATTACTGACAAATTTTTACCACTGCGTTTGCATTAAACCATTTAAATACTATTAAATGATTTATACTTTGAAAAGGTCCCCATTTTCCTTTGCAGGGTATGGGAGGCACAATCAGCTAATGACTCGTAATCTCTGAGGAAGAGGCATAATGACACAGAGCGGGGAAACAGACATGCATACGTTGCTGAGGTTTTGTACAACTGGGCCTGCCTTTCTGAAGAACAATTTGGCAATAGGTATTAAACATTAAAAACATACAATCCCTTTGGTCCGGCCCTTCTAGGAACTTATCCGAAGGACACGGTCAGAGACGTACGTGGAAATGTTCTCCCAAGGTGGTTCACGGCAACATTAATATAATACTGAAAAATTAGGAGCAACTTAAATGTCCAACAGTCAGGGATTAGCTGAGTAAATTATGGCACAGTGCAGTCCAAAAATATTGCACAGGAACATAGTAATTGACACAAGAAAATGTGGCATGTGAGAAAGCAAGTCATGAAACATTATGAACGATATGCCATTTTTGTAAGGTCAATTTTGGAAATCTTTGGCTCATAGGATAGAGTGGAGGGCTACAGAGCAAGGGCTTTGAGGTCGGACACAGGAGTTCAATTCCCAGCTTCAACACTTGTGCTATGAGCCTCAGCTTCCTCATCTGCGAAACGGAAACGGGGCCAGATAGTCCCTGGATAACATCTAAGGGAATGGCTCTCATTAGATAGACGTTTCTAATTAAAATGGTGGCTGAGGGGGTGTGTGGGCGTGTGTGTGCATGCGGGCACATTTGTGTGCTCACCTCGCGGTGCTTTCTGGATGCATTCAATTCTTTCTGAAATAGGCAGGTATTGCTTTTGTAATTAGGAACAAAGTCATTACCATAAAAAAGGAGAGGCAGAAGAGGAACCCTGAGAATATTATTCAACATAAGAAATGTCATTGGGACAGAAGGAATGTCAACTGTGTGCTAATTTCCCATCTCTGTCTGCTCTCAGAGTCGTCTGTCTGTTTTGAATCATCCTGTGACATTTCTGTTCTTAAGGACTTCTTCCAAGAATTAAAAAAAATAATAATAATAAAAAGGAAAGATAGAAAGAACCCCCCCCCCCCAAACTGCAAGCCATGTGGGTGAGTGCAACTTGGAGAAAATATTTCCAAAATGTTGTAGCCAATACAGACCTTGTTTTAAACCTCAGACATCCTAAGCAAATATCTCGATGACGCTTGTAAACCATAGGAAGTTCCTCCGCTTGGTAACACCTTGCTTGTTGGAGATAATTTAGAGAGAAGGATTCAAGGACCTTCACTGGTTTTGCCTGCCCGGCGTTCACCCTTCTCTGATACCGACCTTCCTCCCCTCCCCCGCCGTAGCCAGGTCTCAGAACCTGGATATTTCTCTGGGAGAATGCCCTCCTCCCCTTGATCCTGGCGGTTGCAATGGGCCTGCGGGTAGGCAGTGACCAATTTTGACTTACAAGAGCAACACTGTTCTGGCCACTGGGATTGGCTCAAGGGTGAGCACGTGACCCAAGCTGGGCCAATCAGAGCCAAAGACTCTTAGCCCCGGGATTTTTACCTTTCCTATCGAGAAGCAGGTGCTTTCTTTCCACTGGGATGCTGGGCTGGTAGAATGTACAGCTGAGACAGCCAGGAACAGCTTTCACGGCATTTAGGGGAAGCCTGCTTGAGAATGGAAGGGACACAAAAGAAGGAAAGCCAGGAAATGGACAAAGTCAGTTTCCTGCTGACATCCTTTAAACACAGGGACTCAGCCTTGCCTAATGCTAGCAAACATTCCTTTCTGTTTCAACCAGTTTTCGTTGGTTTTCTGTTGCTTGCAACTGAAAAGGTCCTGAATGCTACCGGAGATCAGTCTGAAGTGGCAGATACATTCATTTCATTGTCAGTTCCTAAGAGTCTATAGTGTTTATAGTATTTCAGGTGCTAATGACTCATTCAGTGTTTCTTAAGTAGAGCTCCTCCAGGACTGGCTGCACAGAACACCTAAGAGCCCTTTGTAATTAGCTCATTAAAGGAACCCTGGCAAAGTGGTTGTCAACTTGCTTGAAAACAGTTGTCTTGAGTCGGCTAAGCCTTTCTCCCCTGCTACCTCGCACGCGCGCTTGGCCTTCGCAAAGCATTTTTCAGAGTCAGAACAAATCTAGGCCCGCATTCAAGCCCTGGTCCAATTAGTAGAATTCTCACTAAATATTGAAGTGAGTCTTTATTTGTAATTCGTTCACACTAACAGAAACAGTAACACAAACAAAACATTGCAAAGAGGTTGTGTTTTCTACAGAGAGCCACCAGCCGCCGTTCTGCGTTATAATGTACGCTGAAGATAACGGTGAGGCTACTTATATTTCTTTTTATCACCCTGTTTCCACTCTTTTTGGTATTTACCAAGCTGTAGATCGCCTCAAAATGTTGAGTTTCCCGGGTAGTTGTTCCTTTCCCCTTGTCAAAACGTTTGAAAGGATCGTCAACCATCTGAGGGTTTGATTCGCATCCAAACAAGTCTTTACTGGATTTGCAGGGGCTACAGGACAGGGTCAGGTCTGAAAGAGATGGAAAGATGAGGGACTCTAGTCCAAGTCTCCTGGCGATCACTGCCTGGTTGGGGAGATAAGAATGTGGTTTAGTGTCGAGAGCCCAGTCTACCTCCATTTCTGGCCTCTCATTTCCTAGCTATGTCCTTGGGTAACTTATTGAAGCCCTCTGTACCTCAGTTCTTCATCTGTGCAATGGGAATAATAATGCTAGTATCTACCAAATAGTTATATTAAGACGATTAAATGAGTTAGTCTATATGAACTGCATAGAACAATGCCTAACTCTCATAAAATAAGAAAGATAACTCTGACTTTTTTCTTTTGAGAAAAAAAGGCAGTTATCTTTCTTATTTTATGCCTTCATAGATCTCTTTCTTTCAACGGTTATTTATTTTGGAGAAAGAGAGAGACAGAGCACGAGTGGGGGAGGGGCAGAGAGAGAGGGAGACAGAATCCGAAGCAGGCCCCAGGCTCCAAGCTGTCAGCACAGAGCCTGACTTAGGGCTCGAACCCACGAGCCGCGAGATCATGACCTGAGCCGAAGTCAGTGCTCAACCAACTGAGCCACCCAGGTGCCCCGTATGTCTTCACAGATCTCTTGTGTAATGGCTGATGTTAATGATTTTCCAGCAATTCTCAAGTATATCTTGGGATCAAATATCAGCATGTTTGACGATAGCCACATGTATCCCTCAAAAGATCTCTTAGGAAATGGCAACACTGGTCATCCACAGACTATCTCTCAATACGGGATGTTCCGTCTAGCCAATTTATCCCACATTATTCTTTGGTTGAGAGTAGGATGAAGCAATTGCCTCAAACTTAGGGGTCAGATTATATGAGAAATGACGACCGTTAACCACTGGAAAACATTTGTAAAGACTGGATTCCCTCTCAGGGCAAGAGAGGCTGATGACCCCTGAAATGGCAAGGGACGAGCACCCGCAGGCCCCACCCACACTCACCTGGGCAGGTGCATACACCATACGTGACTGAATCCATGTACATTAAAGGTGTGTAGGCTGCGATTTCCCTCTATTCAATTTGCTTAGTAATAAGACAGTTCAGAGACGGTAGACATGAGGGCTAGTCTAGTTCCCGAGTTCAGCACACCTTTACCTTGGAGGTCCTTATTACAAAAAGCATGAAAACGGGGCTTCGAAGCCTGTGACTTGAGTATGAAGCCTGGAACTACAGTCTACCGGGCGGGGGGTGACCTTGGGGCCAGTCACTTGCTCTCCCCCAGCGCCCGTCTCTTCCTACGACGAAGGGGATCTCAAAAACCTATACCACCCACAGTTACTGGGAGAATGGAGATAAAGTGTGTATAGATGTTGGGATCCAGGGCGCGCTCGCGTATTATTCACTAACTCAACAAACGCGGTGTGGGGCCAGGGTCTGGTCACCACGAGTAAGTCAGGCCCTGACCTCGGAAAGCACCCAGCCACGTGGGGAAATGCAGGAGTAAAAGTGTAATGGTGCTGTGAGGTGGCAAGTGTGATCGAGATGATTTTATAGTACCCGCCAACACTCTGGTCTTTTTGTAGCTCCGAGTGAAATGATCTGTTCTGTCGTGAAGGTGAGTTAATGCGCGTTTGGGTAGCTTCTGTTTGGCGTTCTGGAAGAGAAATGCAATTTGGAGTATCCATATCCTCGCTAGCCACGACATTGGGAGAACTGGCCAGTAGAAACGGTCTTCTTTGGTTCAGGGGAGTCATTCTGAATAACTGCTCATGATCAAATTAGACAGATTTGTTTTCCACTAGTAAACAGCCGCTAAGAGTTACCGAGTTTACACTGGGCATATTTTCTATTGAAAAGCAATACAGCTTGGCGTCAGATAGGTCCCACCATTTACTGGCTGTGTAGTTGGTGGCAAGTTATTTCACTTGTGTGAGCCTCGGTGTCTCCTCTTGAAGTGGGGCAGAAATAGTACCCATCTCACAGCGTCAAGGGAAGGATGCAGTGAGATGGCCTGACTCCATGGGAAGTGTTCAAAAATGGCCGTTATTTGGCTCAGTCGGTTCAGCGCCCGACTTCGGCTCAGGTCACGATCTCACGGTTTGTGAGTTTGAGCCCCACGTCGGGGTCTCTGCTGTCAGCACAGGGCCTACTTCAAATCCTCTGTCCTCTCTCTCTCTGCCCCTCCCCCAGACTCTCTCTCTCTCTTTCAATCTCAAAAATAAATAAACATAAAAAAAAAAAAAAAGGAAAACAGTTATCATCGTTGGCTTCAGAGGCAAAACCCTAGGCATGAGAGAGAGTCTGTGCTGGTACGATCTTTGTGACCTCTGCCGGGCTCCTCAGGAGGCCAGAGATGTTAAATTTAAGAGAGAGGTTACGTTCGTATGTAAACACGGGAGGCAAAAATGGATGGAGTCGAATTACCTTTGAAAAATCTCTGCCCATGTAGTAGGGCATATACGGTATTGTGTATGGACGCCCCCCCCCCCCCCCACCCTCGGGTTTGAGAACCACTGAGTCAGACCATAAGAAGGAATAAAAGGAAGGTTTGTCTCCAGCTGCCCGAGGACTCAAACCATTCTGTCTCTAAGGAAGAGGGTCTCAACGGAGGGCAGTTTCGCCCTGCCAGGGGACATTTGGCAATGTTTCCAGACATTTTTGGTTGTCATAACTAACGTGGGCTATGCTATTGGCATCTAGTGGGTAGAGGCGTCGGATGTTGCTAAACATTCTACAACACGGGACCGTCCTCAACAACAAAGGATTATCCAGCCTAAAATGCTGAGGCTGAGAAACCCTGCTGTCACCTAACTGTCAAATCCACACTTAGGACTGAGTCATGGGTAGAGTCTGCTATGATGTTTCTGTTTCTCGTGGGGGTTTAATGAGATGCCATATATAAGAGACCTTAGTACAGGGCCTGGCACATAGTAGGTACTTAATAAATAAATGTTTGCTGGCTTTGGATTCAAAATTACTGACTTCTCAACTCTAGGCGGAGAGACTTCCCTTGCAACGGTGAGATTTACAAAAAGGAGCTCTCATGAACTCCAACTCCATTCCCCACTCCCCTCGAAACAAGCTGGACCTGAGATAGGATTCTGTGAGTCCACAGCAAAGGGGTGGGAAGGTGGTTGGCACTCACATGCTAGGAAACTCTCAAGGACCACAAAGGCAAGAAAATTACTTTTAAATGAAAGAAATATTTCCATTTCATTTCAACCCTTAATGTATCATATAACTCTAATATCATTCCCTGTCCAACTGAAATATTGGAATCCAAATAATTCTTAAGTCATTTGGACTCTATTCAAATGTGAATTCATCTCTTTAATCATCTCTGCCCTTATTTTCGAAATACAGACTAATATTGAAACTTAAGAGTCTATTTGTGGATTTTCTTTTTAACTTTAAGATTTTTTTTTTTTTATGGTCACTGTTGCTTTCTTCCCCGTCATTATGTATTCGTCAGTGTGTTGAAGATCCTAAACTTGTCTTTTTTTATTTTTCATTTCCCTTCATTTAAATATTGTGGACAGCAAGCAGACTGAATAATGATGAATATGATTAATATTCTGACTTAATAAGTCTTTTGAAAGAGACCTTTTTATTCCAAGGAGGAAGTGTTGTTCTAGCAGCATATGGTGTCACAGTGACAGAGTCGAATGGAGGGTAACCAGACGGAAGGAAATGGCATTTTCTGGCCATACTGATGCTGAGAGGGAGTCACTCATTTGGTATCCTATTCCAATAAGTCCAGTGAAGGAAGGAAAATTTCTCCCAAAAGTGTGTTTCTGTGTCATGTCTGTCTTGAGAGCTTTCTTGAATCGAAATGCTATCTTGGCGTATCCGTGTGAAATGGAGTGAGACGTGTTATGTTCAGATGTGCTGTGTCTTCTCCACGATGTTCTCCTTTTGCCTAGGACACTTGTGATAGAAGACAAGACCGTACCAGGGTCCAGGGATAGCAGACACACAACAGGTCCACCACTCTTCGTTCCCTTGCCTATGGCAGACATTACCAATCGATCATAGCACTCTTTTCCGAAGACCATGCACACAGCCACCACCAATTGATTGCAGAGTCAGCACACAAGATAAAAAAGATTTCCTGCCTCTGCTAGGGAAAGAAAGTTATGCTTAGAGGAGCTTTGGAATGTCACCACCACTGTATCCTTTTCTAGAAACCTCTTCAGTGCCGCAAATCCTGTTTGCCCAAAGGTTAGAATAGAAGAGGGACATGTTGGTTTTGCTTTCTACATAGCAAACTATGCAGAAACAAGCAAACTGAATGAATTCTCCTTCTTTCTTAACCGACTGAGCCACCCAGGTGCCCCATTCTCTTTCTCTCTTGATAGAACCTGAGTCCATAGCTTTTAAGCAAGGTGCAGATTTATCTTTATGTTTTTACAATTTACCTCTTGAAACCATATAATATTATATGATCCCCCCCCCCCCAAAAAAAAAAAAA